GTCTCACAGACACCTCGCTGGCACATGCTTTATGTCGCGGAGGGTGAGCGAAGAGCCGGTGGGGGCGGCAGTCGAACCTTTATTAGGTAGATAACCGAGATGCGAAGCTGCGTTATATAGATGCCCATCCACGCTGAGCTGCCTCGTTTTACTCACTTCAATGCTTAATGGAATTGAGTTCTTGTAAGCGCCCGATCCCCGCCGCCGCCGCCGCCCCCTCCCCCTCCTATTCGCCGCCCTTCGAGGCCAGGCGGGCCGGGGGTGTCGAAGGGACGGCATAGACGGAGGACATGAGATAATTGGTATTTTGTCTCGCCAAATCCTTTGTATCTCGAGTTTTAATTGACTTCGAGATTTTTCAATACCAATTTGCACCCAACTGCATACAAACCGGCCCTCGGCGAATGTGTGCAGGGTGGCGGCCGGACTGTGTGCGTCTGTGCTCGGACCCTGTGCACACCGCTACCCGGGACCAGCACCGACGGAATGGCGACCGTCGAACAGAGTTTTTCCTCCACGAGCCGGAAGAGTCCGGCTCCTCTCCTCTTTTCCCCTCTTTTTCGCGCTTCGAATCGCTTCCTCCCTCTGTTTACCGTTCTCTTATTGGCGTCGACGACACCCGGCCCCGAACCCACCCAACCACCCACCCACCCATCCCGTTTTTCTACAGTCCTGTGCCTCGACGACGAACGCCATCGACGCGCCTTTAAATGGGAACGGATTTTGGTAGTAATTGGTTCAAAGGGGGATATTTTATGCCGCCTCGCGGTACGCTTCATAACGAAGCTGTAGCTTAAACTGCGAGCACGCTCGCTAATTTCTTTCATTGAATTCTAAGAGTTTCGACGTGTTGCAAGATTGATAATTGGACAAGAAAGATGACGAAGAATGGTGCGGTGTATTAATCATATTTCGTTTGCAATATTTTTGGTCATTTGCTTACACACATTTGCTTGCTCACAGTCAATTTTATATCGATGTATTTATTTTAGAATTTTAATTATTGAACTGTATTAAAGAAGTTGTTTTAAAAATGCTCCCTCTTGAAGTTACTTGACGCTCACTAATTAATTCCCAATTCGTAAAACTGCTGATGATATTTTCAGCTATCGAATGTTTATTCTTGACAGTCTATCAAATAATAACCGATAAGGATTATTCTTTTTGGAGCATGGTATTATTCTCTCACGAAAGCAAATATAATATTTTTGGCAGTTCAACTTCATACTAAATATTTGATTGGTTCAGTTAGTGTTGCCATTGATTAATGTTAAACACGCAATTCGAATACTTTTATGCTCTACAATATGTTATTACATCAAATAAAGTCTTTCTGACTCGGATATGTGTCATTTGATTTCAATGAAATTTATACACATTATTCATACACGGTATATAAGACAATTCCAAAATATTTACTATAATGTATGATTTGTGTTCATTTCAATTAAGAATACAGCCTATGTAGTAGAGAGAGAGAGGTAGTGGATTTGTGTGTGTGATATTGGGATTATTGGAAGGATGGTTTATATTGGAAGCTCGAACAGCTGAGCTCGACGCTGTCTACAAAGGCATTTTTTTTATATAACCTTTCCAATGAGGACTTATGAAATAACATACGAAAATCGGAATTTCCATAATGATCCTCTATCTATTCATCGGATACAAGAACGTACATCTCTCTAAAATAGCGCAAAGAAACAATAAATTCCTATAATTGTATATATTATTAAAAAATGCATTGTTTAAATTTTCGTTATCTGCTCAGACAAAGAAGTTGACAAGCGTGACTTTTTACTTTTTTCTATTCTTCCACCTAATTATAATTTTTGCAAAAAATGTTCCATGCGTTGTCTAACAAACTATTCCTTCTACAATTCCAAAAGAATTCGAATCGTTTGGTGCAATTTTAGGAACTTTAGGTGTCCGCATATATTTCTCCACGATTGTACAATTCTACGAAACTTCTGTTTCACATAAACGACGACAGAAACGTTCACTTTTGCACAAAGATCCGCCGTTTGTCGATCAGAAATAAATATCCGGAGAAGGATTAAGCGTGTTAGAGATGAATGCTTATCCTATCCGGGATGATTCGTAGCAACGTTACAAGGCCGCCGCCCGGCCGAGGTGGCCGCGCTCGAAAACGCAGGAAGCTTAATCGATTATTCGAGAATCGAAGTAAGGAGACACCAGCGCCGAGGCGTACGCGCCTCCGCGACAACAAAAGCACAAACGACTAATGCAGTTCACCGACAGAGAGCGAGCTTTTATTCGGTCGCATTGCTGAATGTCCTTTGGGAGTCGAGGGCGCGGTGAGTCGAGATTGGGAAAGGGGCACCGCTCGCTCCTTTCGCCGCTGTTGCTTTCCATTCTAATCCAAGTGCCAGTCGTCGAGAGATTTTTTCCATTGTTCCCCAGATTTCCCACAGGAAAGGAACCGGCGGATTTCGAACCCTCCTCTCTCATTGTTTCTACGGCTGGGAGGAGAAGACGAAGACGGACCCGACATGCGAGCTCGGATTAATTACTCGACGGAGAGCCGCGGATTAGTCTATCAGTACCCTCTACGATCTACCTTGCACAGCCTTTTACTTGAACAATCTTCCTCGGAGATTCGCCGCAAGATGTCAAACCAAAGAAATGCGATGGCTTTGTATTTAAAGATTGTAGTAAGAGTGTATAATTAATATTGTTTTATTAATTATATTTTTGAGATTATATTTTACGTTTGAAGATAATACTATATCGGGCTAACTAATTATCTCTTTGAATAGTTCGTGGTGCAATTTGTAATTTCCGAACTTGTTTTATCAATGTCTTCTTCAGAATCATTCATGAAATTTGGAGATAATGCTGCGCTAAAATGGGATACCTAATTGTCTTTTTTAGTTCCCCACGTAATTCGTAATCTCTGATGGTGTTCTGTCAATGTCCTTTTTAAAATCATCCATGATTTTCCACATACATGTACACCATCATTTAGTATACAGGCGAAGAAAATAATTAAGTGATCTGTCTTAGATGAAATAACCTGTGTATGGATGTAAAAATACTGGATTTAAAAATACTGTCATATTGTTTCCAATCTATTAATTCCGTCAAGATGGAAAATCAATTTTTTATACAACAATTGTACGTTGTAATTCAGCTGGAAGATTTATATTTTACTTAAAGATTGTCTCCAATCTATTAACTCTGCCAAAATGGAAAATCAGTATTTTTAATCAACAATTACACGTTGTAATTCAGCTGGAAGATTTATATTTTGCTTAAAGACTGTCTCCAATCTATTAACTCCGTCAAAATGGAAAATCAGTTTTTTTAATCAACAATTGCACGTTGTAATTCAGCTGGAAGATTTATATTTTACTTAAAGACTGTCTCCAATCTATTAACTCCGTCAAAATGGAAAATCAGTTTTTTTAATCAACAATTGCACGTTGTAATTCAGCTGGAAGATTTATATTTTACTTAAAGACTGTCTCCAATCTATTAACTCCGTCAAAATGGAAAATCAGTTTTTTTAATCAACAATTGCACGTTGTAATTCAGCTGGAAGATTTATATTTTGCTTAAAGACTGTCTCCAATCTATTAACTCCGTCAAAATGGAAAATCAGTTTTTTTAATCAACAATTGCACGTTGTAATTCAGCTGGAAGATTTATATTTTACTTAAAGACTGTCTCCAATCTATTAACTCCGTCAAAATGGAAAATCAGTATTTTTAATCAACAATTCCACGTTGTAATTCAGCTGGAAGATTTATATTTTGCTTAAAGATTGCCTCCAATCTATTAACTCCGTCAAAATGGAAAATCAGTTTTTTTGATCAACAATTGCACGTTGTAATTCAGCTGAAAGATTTATATTTTACTTAAAGACTGTCCCCAATCTATTAACTCCGTCAAAATGGAAAATCAGTTTTTTTGATCAGCAATTGCACGTTGTAATTCAGATGGAAAATTTATATTTTGCTAAAAGATCCATCAGAGAAACGCTCGCCAGCAGATGGATACCTTCTCGCAACTACCTGATTCGTTCTGATTTATGCTCTACCCGTGTCTGGGGTCCACTAAAAAAGCTAGAAAGAAACGCTCCCCCCCTTCCCTCCCTAATAGCCTCCTCCGAATGTTTAGAAAGTGAAAATATTCATGACATCATAAAAAAATAACATAATAAAAATATCATAAAAATATCATAAAAATATCATAAAAATAAATATCATAAAAATATCATAAAAATTACCAACAACAATGAACATCCAAAGAAACAAAATGTGTGTTTACTGCTCGGAAGATCTCCAGAAAAGCGATTCCAAAAGTAGCGAATACCTGCAGAACTATAAATAAAGTCCACCGCCCCTAAGGAAGGCAGTCACAAGGGTTGTCCGATGGAAATCGCGGCAGGTTGATTGTCAGGAGGAAGTCCGTGGGGATAGCCTCCTTAGAGAAGGTCCTTGACCAAGAGTCTTCCCGGTTGGTGTTCGCTTAGGGGGTGCGAACGAGGGGCGGCGGAGAGAGCGTAACCAATTATCGGTTGATATCGCGGCGTCGACGGTGGCGTGCGCGGCTTGTACGGGAACAGAGAGCTAGTCAATAACGGGTTGCCTATACGCTATTTGTACTTCATCGTATCGAGGTAATCGATAATAATAATTGCAGGCCCGCGGTCTCCGAGGTAGCAGCATCAGCAGCGACGGCAGCGACGGCGGCGGCCGGCATCAGCAGCAGCAGCATCGTCGGCAGCCCTCCTCAGTATGGTACACAGGGGTTGCTGTTTCTGATCGGTGTGCAGGCGTCACTTAGTGGGGAGAAAGGGTAGAAAAGGTGAGCGAGCTCGGTGGCAGACTCGACGAATAACGTGAAGAGGGTCGGTTTGTGGGCGCGGCGAGCGGTTCCGACGCCGTGCGTCGGTTCCGCCCTCGAAATCCTGCCGGAGTGATACGGCCAGCTGGGGAAAGAGAGAGAGAGAGAGGACGAATGGATTCCTCGAACAGGACCGGTCGTACGGATAGAGCACGCTCAGTCGACACCGGCTCTCCATTCGAGCACGTTGGACGGTTTGTCGCGCTCACGCTTCGTTCAGAGAGAAAGAGAAAGAGAGATCTCGTTGCCGTCGGCGCGTCTGTGTTTCCAAAGACCGTTCCCACGACGACAGGACTCTCTCCGACCAGTGGATGAAGGACAATCACCAGGTCTATAATCGAGAACGGCGCAAATCTGCTTGTGAGTGTGTGAACAGTTCGCTGCAATTAACGTCCGAGAAGGTGTCAAAGTTGGATTCTCGAGGAGGCACGGCGTGCTATTGGAGCACCGATCAGTTCCGCATCGACGATCCGGTGACTATGATGAGCTCGCACCAACATCATCCGGGATACGGGTTCCTGTCGGGCATGGATCTGCACTCGATGCACGTGAGCCAGGACATGAGCATGGTGAGCCAGCAGACCGCCACGTTGCAAGAGCAGCACATCAAGCGGCCGATGAACGCGTTCATGGTGTGGTCGCGGATACAGCGGAAGAAGATCGCGCTGGACAACCCGAAGATGCACAATTCCGAGATCTCGAAGCGGCTCGGTGCAGAATGGAAGTTGTTGTCGGACTCGGAGAAGCGACCGTTCATAGACGAGGCGAAGCGGTTGCGGGCGATGCACATGAAAGAGCACCCAGACTACAAGTACAGGCCTCGGAGGAAGCCGAAGGTGCCGTTGTCCGGCAAGGGCTCGATGAGCCCGGGCCGTTTCCCGAGCTTCCCGTTGCCGCCGTACTTCGCCGCGCCGGCTACACCAGTGCCGCATCATCATCATCATCCGCACCCCCTCGATTACCCGTCACTGTCGCCGTACTTCAGCTCCCCCTTCGACGCGGTCCACCTCAGCAAGCTGGTCTCTGCCAACGGAGGTTCCGCATCCTCGCCGTCGAGCGCGGCTGCGGCCGCGGCCGCGGCTGCCGCGGATGCGGCCAACAACAACGCGGCCGCGGTTGTCAGCAGCTTCTACTCCGGCTTCTACTCGACGCCCACGACATCAGGTAAGCCGTACCACAACACGGCCTCGCATCTTGGCCCACTGTTTCCCACCGGACACCACACGGTCGGCGGGAACACGCCTCATCCGCCCCTCATGTTCCCAACCTCCTCGACGGCCACTGGCAACGGCAGCGTCGTCACCACCACGAGCAGCCCCTGCAGCAGTCCAGGAACCACTCCGATACCGTCGTCCCATCAGCAGGTGGCCACGCCGACGACCTCTACCACGCTGGAACTGGAACAGCTACGTAGACCTGTCTCCGTGATATTCTAGACACGTTCGATCTACCAGCCGACTACTCGATCGATCCAACGGGTAAGTCTTTTTCGGGGGTTACTCGACGGTTCCTCGAATCGATCGCGACTGGTCCAGACGATGCTATCGCTGTTCTGGGTCTGGGGGAGAGCCTCGTATTGGTTTCGTATACGGTTTGCTCTAATGTGTGTCCTTTTCTCTCGAGTCGGGATTATCGTCATGTATTTTGTCATGACTCGTGCGTAGATTTATTTTATTTGTCTTTTTTGTTGTTGTTTATTAGTCCTTTGTACTAGATGGTTTATTTAGTAAAGATGGAGGTGTTGCATGTACATGTCAATTTTAGTGCTCGGCGTGTTCAGTGATCAGCAAGGATGATCTTGTTTCACTTTTAAAACATTATTTGGGACGTGCGAGTTCTGTAAATGTGGACAGGATGCATTTGACAGCTGTCATGTGGACGACGCACAGTGGCAAGAAAACGGGATTCAGGGGCCAAATGTCAATTTTTTGGTCTTTCCGAAAAAGTAAAGTCATTTTGTTTAATTGAAAGAAGTATGTTTACCATTCACGAATACCAAAAACTTTTTCCAAAAAGCTTTTATTTTGATGCGATATAACTGTTAACTAATTTAAAAGGCCAAAGACGCTTGAATCAATTATACAAAACGAAAGAAAGATCACATCTTTTTGTATGAATTTTCTTTTTAATAATTGAACTTTGAATCTTTCACGATACCGTGAACCAAGTATACAGGATGTACCAGAATTAACGTATTTCCGGGAAATGAGGGTTCCTGAGGTTCATACTAAGTAATTTCTTCCTTAGCAAAAATGCAATCCGCGGCTTTGTTCACTAGTTATTATAAATATAACACACAGTGTTGTAGTTATTAACACTGTGTGTGTGTGTGTATGTGGGTGTGTGTGAACTCAATTAAATTTAGTTTTAAATAATTTATTGCAATAAAATCACATCTTGTTTTCGACTGCGTTGCGCGGTGCTAACATGATCAAATTTATGTATATAGTATTTGTAAACGATCACAGCCAGATATAATACTTGGTAGACGGATCAAAGGTAAATGGATAATAATACTACATCGTGACTATTTTTATTTCGTACCATACACATAACTGTAGATGATTCTTATAGTTACAAATACATGTTTCTGTATACATTGACTGTCACTTAAGATTGTACACTAAGGAATTCAGCTGATTTTCATTTATAAAACGTGATCATTGTAGGAAATGACACATATAGACATGTAGTTCAATGCTTCTTTATTTAATATATAACAACAGTAGAACAAAACTTTCGATAATTATTAGTAAATACAATAAAATTTGTCGTTACGTATAGAACTGTCTCATCAGTAAAAATCGTACACAGTACATATTTTCAATAGTATTTAATATATAAAGCTTATGTTAATATCTTGTAGGATATCTCCACATGCGTTTTTAACAGATTGTAATCGCCAAGGGATTGATTTGACCAAATTTTTGCAAAATTGTAGTGTCATTTCTTACCATTCTTCTTGTAAAACGTTCTTTAGACTTACTTTGTTTGTAATATTATGAAATCGTATTTTGCTTTCTAATTAATTCCACACATGTTCTATCACATTTCGCACACAATTCTCTACTATGATAATTTGTTCAATATTTTCGAACACCTGATGCCAATTTGAGAGCATTTATTATGTCGGATTATCTTTAATTTTTCGAATAATTCATCGCCCATCCGTTGCATTCAGTTTCTTATCAGACCTTTGACTTTATTTGATAATTAATAATTGCCTTGATTTCATTATACCATTTTTCATTTTTATAACGGTAAATTATCAATGCATTTCTTTCATTTTTTTGGAAAACAGTCCAAGCAATGTACAAACGACAGAAAACAATAACTTTTATTGTTTCCAAGCATTGTTACCAACATTGTACGATTTAACGACGAATTTACATAACGACGAACTACATATCAATATGTATGTATGAATTACAATGTCACTGTATATGTATTTGGTTCATTGTATCGCGAACGATTCAAAATTTAATTATTACAAAGAAAATTCAAACAAAAGAATCTTATCTCGCCTTTTTTATATTATTGATTCAAGCTGCTTTAGCCTTTTAGATTAAATTAACAATTATGTCGCACAAAAATAAACATTTTTTGAAAAACATTTTTAGTAATTATTAGTGGTAAACGTATCTCTTTCAATTAAAAGAAAAAAATGATTCTACCTTTCTGAAATCGCCGAAAAATTGATTTTTGGCCGCTGAATCTCGTTTATTTCCAACTGCGCGACGCACGTCGGCTGACAATACGGAATCGATGTTCGATTATTGATGACTCTGTCGGGTCTTTTGTTTCAGTTTCAAAACAGTGAAGACTGTCGTCATCCCCCCCGCGCAGATACCGTTTCAGTGCTCGTGGAAACGAATCTGGAGAATCGTAAACGAAACCTCTGTAAGCAAGAATTCTTTCCATAAGCAAAACTGTCGAGTCATTCGGAACATAGTTTGTAAACAGTTATAGTCTAAACAGTTGTTGACGCTAGAAGCAACAGTTTCAATGTAGCGGTTCTTCTTCCATGATTCTGTTACAGAGAATTTGGCATCTTGAAATTAAATACTTTATCTTGGTGAATTCTCGATCATTTTTGACTATTGTAATTGCTAGACTGCGGGTTTCATGCCTTTATAGCGTAAATGGATCATCGAAACGCCGAACAACGTAGACAAAACAAGAATCGAAAAATGTTGCAGCATTGCTTTCACTGTATTGACATGGAAGAAATAAAGTTACTCACCAAATTGAGCGTACACCTAAGTAGGCAATGACGATTAGCGGCAAAATAAACAAAAATAAATATTTTCGAAAGTTAACAATATCTGGATATTTCAACAGGCAACCCTTTAAAAGACATTTTAATGAAATTTAACACTAAACCTAGTAATACTCTTATTTCGTCGCCATAAAATTTAGCGTATTATTTTTTAGAATAATATAATATTTATTATAATAATTTAGCGTATTATTATATTATACTACCAAACGCTTGCGTTGGTTCACCATGGAAATGTAAGGTCTTTTCCTCGCTATTTTACCATGATACCCTTTATTATATAGGACTGTTTCCATAGAAATGGTTTAATTCTTAAAGACACATTTTTTCTTAATTTTAGAACACTGATTTTGGGATCAATTTTAATTTGTCTCACTATCTACCGCTCATCGGATTTACTAATTATTTTCTTTTCTTCCAAATTCTACTTTATTAAGTAGGGTTCCACTGTATTTATAATTACCACGAGTCTTTCCAATTATTTCTTTTAACGATTCGTCACGACAGCACAATTCTACTGAAATTACTTTATTTAAAGGAATATCAACCTCCGATCTATTGGAAGACGCGGTGCTAATAAACAGTGACAAATGACGATCGAGCATAACATAGGAACTCAGTAATGTGACCGAGAGACGGCTGAACGAATTTCAAATGGAAAAAAATACACAACAAGTTTCACGAAACTCAGTATTTACCATACTTAATTAACTGAACGCTCAATCTTGTGTTTAGAGTAAAATAAAGATAGTTCATTTCTAAAAAAAAAAACGGTTTCCGAAGAATTAAATGTTTTCACTTTCGAAAATGTTCGTTTCCGTTTATTTTCCCGCTAATTGTCGTTGCCAACTGCAGTGTACGCTCAATTTTCTGAACAACTGTAGCAGAGAAACGGATAAACGAAACACGAAACAATGGAGACAAAACAAGCATCTGAAAACACCGCAGCATTACTTCCACCGTGTTAACATCGTTCGAACAAGAAATACATCTTCGTCTAATTTCATTTCGACACAAAAGAGGACGCAAATCTTTAATTTGCATAAAGATCCGCAGTCTAATAATTACGATCCTTGGGTACTTCTAGTGTGAACAGTGATCCGAGCCAATCGAACCCCCACTGACTCGACCTCCCCCCCCTCCTCCCCCTTGTTAGACTACAGTGTTTAACACGTTCCGTGCCACGTGTACCATCCATGGTACACGCTTGCATGTTTACTTAGTGAACTGAACAAATTGTTTACAAGAAATTTAGAACCGAAGAATCAATTTCCACCGCAAGAATGGGCGTTGATAAGTTTTTGTTACGTTGTTATGTGTACGAGAATTAATAATTGCACGTAATACATCAAGTTTTAGTAAAATATCAAAGTGTGAAGATTCGAGTAAAAAAAGCTCGGCACGGAACGTGTTAATGCTC